ACTTGCTTAAACCATACTAACCATACAATCCCAGCTTGATTCTTTAGCTGCTGTGGTTCTGCAGAATTGAAGGGGCCTTGATCTTCTAACAGCTGAAAAAGGAGGACTTTGTACCTATAGGAGGAATGCTATTTTTATGTCAATCAATCTGGTGGGCTGGAGTTATGGCTCAGCGGTAGAGCCCTCGCCTAGTACATGCGAGGCCCTGGGTTCGATCCTCAGTACCACATAAAAAAATAAATAAATAAAATAAAGGTGTTAGGTCCAACTACAAATAAAAAATAAATATTAAAAAAGTCAATCTGGCATAGTAAAGGACAAGATAAAACAACTCCAACAGGACCTTGAACATCAAAAACAACAGCTCTCCTCTGCTGAACAATGGGAGCTAAGTAACCCCCTTCTCCAGTGGGCACTTTCTTTCCTGACCCTGTTGATCCCTGATGCAAAGAAAACACCACTGACCCCAATTTTAAATCAAATTAAAGCAAGCTTGTATTGTGTACATAAAAAAGAGCTGGTCCGAGGCTGTCTCTACCAATCCAGGCTAGAGATCAGCACCCCCGCTCTCTAGGAACAAGGTTTTATAGCACAAAAAGTTGCAAAGGGGGGTGTCTTGAGAACTCACAGATAACAGGATTTTGACAAGCATAATACAAAGGTAGATAGTAGGTAAATGATCTACATGGCATGATATTTCAAGGAGGGAGTAAATTCAGATCCCAATATCAGAATTTATGAGGAGCCCCTGAGGTTTCAGAGAGGTTTGTTATCTGGTCAGGGAAAGTGAGGCATAGGTGAGTTCAAGGCAGGAGCAGGAATTCCCAACAAGTTTAGAAAGCACAGTAATTTATAGTAAAACAGAAATTAACTTCTCATGACTTAGTGATGAGATAGATCCCAATCTTAGGATGGAATTAGGCTGGGTTCATCAACCCCTCTCCTTGTCATGGGCCTTCTGTTAATGCTTGCCCCCGCGTCATTAGATTGGTTAAAGATCAGATCCAAAAAATCTCTAACCAAACTGTAAACCAGCTTTTGTTACAGAAATACAAATCCCTCACAAAAATTGGGCCACGGGGGGACAGCGTTCCACCACCACTCAACCTCCATCATCTTTCCAATGACATCCCGCACCCATAATGAGGGACTCAAATGCTGCCCCTTTCCCAGCAGGAAGCAGTTATAGAAGACTGACCTATATCCCTGTTCCCTAAGGGCCCCAATAAAAAACAAAAAAGGGAAAGAATATAAGGTCCTTGCTTAGCATCTGGAAGGCCATCTTAAGTGACAGCCACCATTTTTAGGAAAAAGTTTCGCTTTCCCACCCAAAGAACCCACTATAGAGAGATTGCCTCTCTCCACTATAGAGAGATGGCCTTTATTTGTCAGCTCTGACAAACTCTCATGTGTATCTCTGCCTGGTCTCCGTCTTTCATTTCTCACCCGTCTCTCGTTCCTCACTTTTCCTTCATTAGGAATAATGACTGAATTGATTGATATTGGTGAGTATTAAAAAGTAAAAATGTGCTTTTGGAATTCAGTGTCTTCCTCGACGTGACAATGAATTTGAACATTTGCAGGAAGGGGAGTTATAGCCTCGACCTTGACAATCCTTTATGAATTTGTCCATACAGAAGAAAGGAAAACCACAAACTCAATACTTGAATAACACAGATAATAATACTGATTGCTGGCTTTTAATTTCTAGCAGTGGGCATTCTAAGCACTAAGTGATACATTTTCATTATCTTCAAAAGTGGCTCCAGAATTTCCAGGTGGAGTAGGTTCTAGATTGTAATTTGGTTGCACAGCAGGGCTGGGGGCTTGGGTTGAGGTTGCAGACAGAACCACTGGTTTTTCTTAGATTATAGGTTTATTTAGTATGGCTCCAGAGAACTGACCACAATTATGTATGTGTAGTAGTCGGCTCTAACGACCCAACAGGTGACAAGCCATCTCTTGGTTCCACCACAACTGATTTCCTTGAATCTTCATGACAACCTTGTCATGGAGATACTGTTACTTCCCCATTTTCTAAAGGAGAAATCCAAATGCAAGGTTAATAGCTTGCCTGCAGTCACATAGGTGGAAAGTGGCAGAGCCTCGTTTGAATAAAAGCTTGTCTAACACCTGAGCCCATGTCCTTTGATACGGCATTCCATTGCCTGTTTCTACAAGGCTGTCCTGGCCTTGGCCAAAAACTGGCAAAGGGATTTTACCTACACACAGAGAATGGCATGAATCAAACTTCACACACAGACTTCTAGTTATTTTTAATAATATATAACCAAGAGGAAACTACTTATTGAATGTGGTAAGTTACATTATATTGAAAATGACATTATTTAACAAGTATGATCCACTTACTAACTCAATAGCTTTGTCTTCTATTTTTGGAGGAGTTTTCCCATTTGCAAGTGAGAGTGATGCCTCAGAAGGCTTTAAAATGTATATAACAAATCAGGTATTAAAAAGCTAAAGACAGTTGGGGTTGTGGCTCAGTGGTAGAGCACTTGCCTGGCAAGTGAGAGGCCCTGGGTTCAATCTTCAGGACCCCATGTAAATAAATAGGTAAGTAAAAATTTTAAAAAAGATCTACTGACAACTAAAGAATATTAAAAAAAAAAGCCAAAGACATAAAGGGATTTGTAGTTAATAAGGTAAGACAGGCTGCTTTGAAAAGTGCAGCCTAGAATTCAAGGACAGAGGTAGGACTTGTTTTTCCCAGAGGATGCCAAGGACGTTAACTGCCCCCCCTCCGCCCCCCCACCAGGCTCCCAGCTTAGTGAGGCTGTCTTGTCCTTTAAGATCTTGGTCCTGATCAAATCTATTTATTTAAAAAATTTAAGGAAGAGTAAAGCTATACCTTAAAAGCACATATTCATACTAGAAAATATCAATTTGAAAAAGAATTTACAAAATAGTATTATTATTTGAAACCCCTCTTTGGGAATAATGAACTCCAAAATTTGTGCATGTATACATACCTATATATTCACAGCAAAAGCACTAAAAAGACACACACTAAAACATACCAACAATGGATTTATCTGAGCGACTGACTCTACTCTGATTTTTTTGGTGTATTTTCCAGATTTAATTTATTAATTAGAAATTAGAATAAAATGACTAAATGAAAGACATAATCACCATACCTTTTTCTTTCTTTTATTTTTATTTATTTATTTATTTATTTTTACAATACTGGGGACTGAACCCTGGGCTGCATGCATGCTAGACAAGTGCTGTACCACTGAGTTACGTCCCCAGGGCCCATATCTCCTTTTAAATAGCACACATGCATTCGGGGGAACAAGATAGTAACAGAAATTGAAAGGGAAAATAGACTTGCATAGAACTCCAGCCCTATGGAGAGACATCTGGAGGTCTCTCAAAGGGGCACATGGGTGCCCATATGTGTGAGGGAGGCACAAAGGAAGACAGAAATACTGATGGAGGGGAAGTGCAAGGGGGTAGTTAGAGGATGCCAAATGTTAATTTCATTATTATGGTTTCTTTTTGTCTTTTGGAAAAAGGAAGACTCTAGTTTCCTCTTACTGCTATAAAAAAAAAATCACACAAAGTAGTGACCTAAAACAACACATTTACTCTTTTTTTTTTTAAATAACATTATTTTATTTGTTTATTTTTTTATGTGGTGCTGAGGATCAAACCCAGTGCCTCACACTCAGGAGCTCTACTCCTGAGCCACACCCCCAACCCCACATTTACTCTTTTACAGTTCTGGAAGCCAGAGTTCTGCAACTGCATCTTACAGGCTAAAATCGAAGTGTTGGCAGCTGCATTCCCACTGAGGCTCCTGGGGAGAATCTTTTCCTTGTGATGTCCAGTTCTGCAGGCCGGCTGCATTGCTTGGTTCATGCCCCCGTTTCAGTACTGGCATCCTTCCAACCTCTGCTTCCATCCTCACATATCTCTGACTGACCCTCTTGCCTCCCTCCCTTGTGGTTACACCAGGACCCCCAGATAATCCAGGTTAATCTCCCCATCCCAAGAGCCTTAATTTAATCACAGCTGCAAAGTCCCTTTTGCCATGTAAGGGAGCACATTCACAGGTTCTGGGACTAGGGTGGGAACATCTTTGGGGCTGTGCATCACTCAGCCTGCAGAAGGGATCTGCTGTGTGCGGTTCCACTACTTCTCAAGTACATTGCAAACAGAACCATCCTGTGAAATACATGCTGGGATTTGCTTTTCAAGTTGAAGACACCAAGAAATTTGGGATACTGCCCCAAATTCAAGATCTGGGATGCAAACCCGGGTCCCCGAGCCCTAGCTCGAGTCTGGCCTGCCTCATGGCCTTGCCTCCATTCTTCCCTCCCATTCACCTCTACTTCCTCTTTCCAGTCTGGGCCTGTCCCCCAGCTTCTTGGACAAGCTACAGCTGTTGTTTTCCGACTTGTCATGTGCTCCTGATGACAGTGTAGTCATAGCTTGATCTTGGGGGTGGCTGATGGAGCAAGCTGAGTGGCTGCCCTTAGGAGTCTTCTCTAAGGCCTTTTTCTTGCCCTTTTCAAAAAGGATTTCCGGGGCCTACCGTGCCCGGTACAACAGCATCAGGGAACACAGCCTTAAGCTAAAAACTACAGAACACTTTGAGTGGCACATGCTTTCTCAGACATATGGGCTATAGCATTGCAGGCAGTTAGAGAAGGAGTCCCAAACTCTGGGAACTTGTGACTTTCTCATTGGTACAATTTAAACTCCAGGGAAGTGGCAAAGGCAGCAACTTGAGCTCCCTGAGTAACCATGTATTATTAACCTTTGTTTCCTAGGCCTTGGGCAAACCTGGGCTTAATAAATATTTAAAAGTTGGGACGAAGGTGAAGACCGGCTTGCCACAGGAGCAGCGTCTCAAACACACAAAGGGTTAAAAGTTAATGCATTGACTTGCCTGCCTCTATTCTACCTAGCAGCTGATGATGCTCTGTGTTTTCCCCTGTTGTTATTGGAAGAGGACCCTGTGTCCTGCCCCTGTTGCTAAATTACTCAACACAGGCTGCAGTTTAGGTTCTCAAAAAGATCAACAGGGACCCGAATCAATCGGAAAGCAAAGGACTTTGCTGGGGGCTGATGGTGCTCCTGGTACCTCTAATCACTGTATTCATGGTGAAGCTCAGTCATGCCCGTGAGTACCCAAGTCCTCTGAGAGGGGCAAGGAACAACAGCTTTGCTTCCTAAAACTTGTGGTGAAAAATGAAACCAGGGGCAGAAACGTGGGTGCATTTCACTCAGGACTTGAAGGGGCAGTGGATGAGCTGGACAGTTGTCTGGCAAACGTTTTAGGGTTTTGAGGTCACCACCTTCTGAGGGGTTGGCAGCCATTCTGGAAAGACCTTCCTGGTAGCTTCCTCCTCCGTTTCCTGGGAGCTGCGTCCTTTCTTTTCTGCTCACATTCTTGCCCTTAACTTTGTTTCTCCTCTTCTCTAACTTAGCAAATCTCACGGGGTTGCAGTTGCGTTCCAGGGGCACTGGACAGTGGACAGGACCCATTGTCCACAGGTATTGTGTTTCGTCCTCACCACAAGCCCTGCCTGTAACTAGAGATCCAAGACAGATAAAAACCGGGCTCTGGGCTTGTTTACTGGACGTAAGAAACTTTAATCCACTAATCGATAGTAGGAAGAGGTTTTCATTGTTTAGGGGGCTCATGTCACTGGGAAACAGAAGCCTTCTGTTGCCCCCAGTGCAGGAGAGGCCCTTGGGAGACAGGAAGCCCCAGCCTTCCTCTGCCCTAAGCAACCACTCTCCAGGCTGAGGGGGGTACTTCCGGGGGAGGGAGGCGGAAGGGGAGCCAGAACTCAGACGTGGCCCTACCCCAGCTGGTGACTGATGAACATGTCGGGAAGGAGCTCTTTCAAGTCATCTGTGTATGACTTCTACAAATACTGATTGATGGCCTACTGTGTGCTAGGCACGCAGTAGGATATGACAGCGAATAAGATAGACAGTCTCTGCTTCTGTGAAAATGTAACCCAGGAAACCTTGTCATTTAAGTCAGAAATGGGAAACACTGGGGATAAGGGTAAGAGGCAGAAGATGGGAAGAGGAAGGGAGAGGGGAGTTAAAGGGTAATATTTCTAGAAATTAAGAAGTTGATACATTACCTACGTTCACTCCTCAAGGAACTCTCCAATAACATAGAACAATGTTCCTTAAACTTATTATCCACTCCAATGTTCTCGTGTGTCCTTTTGGTACTCTAAGAAAATATTCCCCATTTAAAGATATGGGCCTGGTGCCGTGGTGCCTGCCTCCCAGCTACTTGGGAGGCTGAGGCAGAAGGACCCACAAGTTCAAGGACGACCTGGGCAACTTAGCCAAAGGGAGGAAAAAAGGTCTTGTTTTTTTCTGCAGGCCTGGAGAGATGGACTAAACTTACGTAGTGAGCAGTCTGAATTCTAGGCAGGTCTTCTTTCAGTCCAGAGCTTTCCCCAAATACTATGGTGCCCCTGGATGTGAATAGGTGGCCCTCGGGTACTTGGTGGAAAGGGAATTGAAATAAATGAGTGATGAAGGGTGGGGGAGGTCCCTTTGTGCTGCTTAGTCTCCTTTTGACTCCTTGGATTCCTTCCTTCCCTGTCCTGCTGTGTCCCCGAGGCCCATGGCTACAGACCGCATGGTCACCCAGGCTCTCTTACAGCTGATTTCGGGGTGGGGAGGGTCACCCAGTGCAAGACTCAGAGACGAGAGACCAGAGAGTGGGAGGAAAAGGAGGGCGAGATACGTCTTTCTCACACCTTCCCTTCTGCACCGCCTCTGGCTGTAGCCGGGTCCCTCCCCAGTGCAGTTGGCCTGAAACAGCCCTTCTTAAGGGTTCTCACTCCCACTGGGCTGAGGTAACTCTGTTTGCTGTTCTGATTTCTTCAGCTCCAGAGGTGATAATGGCTTCCCATTGCTGCTAACCTCTGGGAGCCCCGCATCCTTGTTTGTTCCCTAGCCTTGCCCCTACCTATGCAAGGTGTCCCTTCATTAAGGTCCCTGGGTGGGATTTGTCTGGGGTGAAGGCCGTTTCCTGCCAGGGCCCTGGCTGAACATTCCTGAGCCTTAAGTGTTATTAACAGGGAGAGACATGGGGTTACGAGAAGGGACTTGGTCCACCTGACATTTGTGTCTACTGCTGGCCCTGGATAAATGCTACTATACCGTGATAGACAGGAAACACAAGGAGGAGATACCACAGCGTGTGGGGTCACAACTCCAGGAAGGGTCAAAATAACTCCACTATCACTTCAGTGTTACTCTTAGCAACTCCACAGCCTTCGGGTGACCATTTCTTGCTTTATGTTTTTCTAGCTTCTGTTCCCAGTTCTATGATTTTTCTATTTCTAAACTCTCCCTTGTGAGGCTATCCTTAAAGCAGCGAGAGAGAGCCTCACTTTTCTCTTATTCCCCTGGCCCTACCTAATGTCCAGTAGGTACTTCATAAATGCTTCCAGAGTGAATTTATGTTAAAAAAATAAAGACCCTAAGAAATTGAAATTATCTGACTATGAGCAGTAGATAGTTTGGGCAGCAATAATGACTGCAAATTCAAACCAGTGGTTTGCTGTGTTTGCAGAATTGGTATTTTAAAAAGCTATTTCAACCAGGCATGGTGGTGCATGCCTGTAATCCTAGTGGTTCGGGAGGCTGAGGCTGGAGGATCTCGAGTTCAAAGCCAGCCTCAGCAAAAGCGAGGCACTAAGCTACTCAGTGAAACTGTCTCTAAATAAAATACAAAATAGGGCTGGGGATGTGGCTCAGTGGCTGAGTGCCCCTCAGTTCAATCCCCAGTACTCCCCTCCCACCAAAAAGGGTATTTCATGCTTTTAAAATTCATCTTGTTGTTTTTTTCAGCCTGTGTGAAACTGGGAACTGGTGGCAATGTGGGTGGACATAATCAGGCTGGGGACATGTACAAGATTTCTCTTGTGTAGCCATATGTGGTTTGTGTGTTTCATCTTGACATAACCAACGTCGGCCTCTTGATATTACTCAAAAATTTATGGATGTGTTAATCTACTATGTCCATGCATTTCATGAATGATGGAGTCCTTCAGATACGAGGACCGATAATGGAGAAGCCCCCTAAGCTGCCAACTGGGCTAGAGTCAGAAGACAGGCTTGCAGATTATCTGCTTAGAAATGACCTTGAGTTCAAAGAGTTAACATGAGAAAATATGGGCATTTGCTATACACTTTATTAGACTTCAGTCTGTTTCCATGGAGCTGTTGCCAAGGTACATGCAATAGAAATGTCTCCAAGACAATACTTCACTCCCCTAAGGCCCTCTTCTGGGTTGAAATTGAATCTATCTAAATCTGAGAAATTTGACTAATTCACAGATTTTTCCTTTTCACTAGTTGAAATATCTATTTATTCTCACTTGACCTCAATCCTCTTATTCCAGGGGATTGCCAAGAACTGGAGGAGGGAACCCAGATGAAAGGTCAAACATACAACTCTTTAAACACTTCTCTCTTATGAAGCCTAAAGTGAGACAGATTACAACGTGCATTCTTTCTGACACCTGAATTTATATTTATTAGGGAAAACTTTTCAAGAGCATACCCAACAAATCACGTTCTGTTACAACTTCAATGGATCACTTAAAAAGCATAAGGTTCATAAAATTGGGATTCTTTTGGGAAGTAGGAGATGTATGGTCATCATCATACCCAGAGGGTACAGAAAAAACCACCAGAGCTCATTCATTTACTCTCCAAAGCTCTACGGGGCCCCACAGTGTCCCCCCAATGTGCAAAGCACACACCTTCCTCAAGGACTTGGCTTACTGTGCTGTCTGGAAGGTTCCTCTTGCATGGCTCCCTCCTTCATTCTATGCACATATCTGCTCGGATATTACCTGCTCAGAGAGGCCTCTCCCGGTCCTTCTATCTAAGCTATCAACCTTCCCCACACTCTCTTGACTGCTTTATTTTCTATCGAGTTTTTATCACCGCCTGACCTTATATTCTATATTTGTATATTTCCAATATCCTTTGTAGAAATTAGCTCAGAGGGCTGGGACTTTGATTTGTTCATTGCTGTGTCCTTAGCAGCTAGACCTGGGCTTCCCAGAAATTCAGAAAATAATAAAATGATGTGCTGGTAACCTTCAAAAGAGTAGCCGCTGGCCAGGCATGGGGGAGCACTCCTGTAACCGCAGTTCCTGGGAGGCTGGAGCAGGAAGATCGTGAGTTCAAGGCCAGCCTGGGCAACTAAGTGAGACTCTGTCTCAAAATAAAAACACAGGAGAGCTGGGGGTGTAATTCAGTAGTGCTAGAGCACCGGAGGCCCTGGGTTTGCTCCCCAGTTCTAAAAAAATAAAGACCAAACCAACAACAGTGGCCTCCAAAGAGTAACTAAGAAGCCAAGCTGTCACATTTAGCACTTATAGCATCCCATTAAATTCCTGTCATTAGACAAGTTGTTAGGAGAGGGGACTGGCAGTTCCTGCTGCATGGAGAGCCATCCACATGGCTGCATTACTCCAGAAGTGTCCAGAGGTTCTCTTAACTAAAAATATCGCCTTCCACTTCTCCCCCTCATTCCCGCGATGCCTGAAATTCCAGCATAGTTCCCAGGAATCATAATCATTTTGACCTTATTAAGGCATCGGTCTACTTGGGAGGGATAACAAATAAATTGAGTCAGGACTCTCGGCCACCTACAGGAAAGCCTGGAGCCTGGGCCCCAGGGACTGGGAGATCAGAGACAGTGAGTCCTCCTTGACACCAGGAGGCGGGAGAGAGCAGTTGATGCTTCAGGGACAGAAGCCCGAAGGAGGCTGGGTTGGGGAAACACCCCGCCTCTGATGAGGGTTAGGCGGCCTAAGGTAGAGAGATCAGATGGTGATTTCCTGTTCCTTCATTTATGGACTCTGAGGATGATCTTGGGCAATTTACTGAATCTCTCTGCACATATTTTCCATCTGTGGAATGGAGTCTTAACCTCAGAAGGTTATGGTAAAGAGTCAGTACAACCCCTGCTCATCGAGGGTCTGGAATGCTACCTGACACATGGTACTTGCTCAATAAATGCATAGAGTTCTGATGGTTATGATTAAGATGCGGCTGCCCTTGGTGACTCATTGAAGGCCACCTGATCTGCCACCCCCTCCTGGGAGCATTTCCCTGTGGTCA